AAAAAAAAAAAAAAAAAAAAAAAACATAAAACCTGCAGGCAGAGCAGAAGCACCGTGGTCTTGGTCTTGGCCATGGCTGTTGGCCAGCGACCTCTTTCCCTGCCAGTCCTAAGACAACGTGACTGCCCTACTCTGCTGCTATCTGCCCCTCAGTGGCTCCCCATTATTTTTGTGTGAAAGACCAAACTCCTGGCCTGGCATCACAGGGCACTGTTCTCCGCTCTGCTGACCTCACCACCATCTCTCACCTTCCCCTCCTTTCTTCCTGTTTTCACACTCTAGCCCCAGGAAACCCACAGCTTCCCGAATGTTCCTTGTTCTTTCAATCCTCTAAGCCTTTGTACCTGCTGTTTCTGCTGCTTGGACTGCTCTTTGCCATTGCTCACCAAACACCTACTCAGAACGGAGCCTGAACCCCATCACTCCCCATCCTGAATTCTTCCCATACCGCCCCGCCCTGGTCACCTGGAATGTAGTTCAGAGTTCTCCTCCCCCAAGCCCTGTTCCTCCCAGGCCAGAGCCCTAGCGTTCTGCATATGGGCTTGCACTGGGATCAGGGCACTAGGGTTCTGTTCCTGTCTTTTGTGTGACCAGGCCTTGCCCCTCCTTGGGCCTCAGTTTTTCCACCTTCGCAACAAGCTCCATCGGGCTCAGTCCCCTTATATAAATTCCTGTCCCACGGAAGGATGGGTCGGGGAGGCCATAGTTGCTGTCCCAACCCTGATCGACACACGCCCTTCCCCTAGATCATAGCCTTTGACGAGCTGCGGACTGACTTCAAGAACCCGATCGACCAGGGGAACCCAGCGCGGGCAGTAAGTGATACATGTGCTGTGCCGAGGTGTGTCCGTCCGTCTGTCTTTACACCTGCGGAGGGCGGGGCAGGGGTACAGGATGGCGGGGCGGGTGGGCGGCGGCTGTGCCCCTTCCTCTCTGCCCCCGCCCCCAGCAAACACCTGGCGCGGGCTTAGGGCCCCAGTTCCTCCTGGCAGGGCGGCTGATGCCAGGCTCAGGGCCGTTGTCGTGGAGACGCGGGTGAAGGCCCCTCCATGGTGACGGTCGCCATGGGGACGGCGCGGCTGCTTCCCTGCCTCGGAGGCTCCTCCAGCGCCCCCTGGCGGCCAAGTGCAGGGCGGAGTGGGGCCCGCCCCGGCGCCGGCTCCTGAGCCATCCCCATCGCGGCCTTTTCCTTCTCCACAGCGCGAGCGTTTAAAAAACATCGAACGCATCTGCTGCCTCCTTCGGAAGGTCAGTGTCAGAGCTGGGGGTAGAAATGCCCCACTTCGTGGCCCAGAGCTATGCCTCTCTCCTCTCCGGGCCTGTTTGATCAGCCACTTGGAGAGAGTGGGAGGCTTCCGGCCTTTTTAGTCCCCCAAGGTCATGGTGGGCAGGCACTTCCCAAATCCCAGTGCCCTTCTGTGCCCTTGAAGCTTGGGTTCGTACTGGCACCAGGCCGCTAACCTCTCACCCTCATTCCCCCAGCTGGTGGTCCCAGAATACTCCATCCACGGCCTCTTCTGTCTAATGTTTCTGTGTGCAGCAGAGTGGGTGACCCTGGGCCTCAACATCCCCCTCCTCTTCTACCATCTCTGGAGGTGAGGGCAGCAGCTCCTTGGGAGGCTGTCTGACAAGGAGCAGGGGTGGGCAAGGTGGGAGCCCTGGCAGTGGGCACTCAGGCCCCTCCCTGCCCAGGTACTTCCACCGTCCTGCGGATGGCTCTGAGGTCATGTACGATGCGGTCTCCATCATGAATGCTGACATCCTCAACTACTGCCAGAAGGAGTCCTGGTGCAAACTCGCCTTCTACCTGCTCTCCTTCTTCTATTACCTGTACAGGTGAGGCCTTGCCCATTGCAGTCAGAACTCAGGGAAGGGACATTATAGGTGTCATGTTTCTAATCCCAGCTTCCTGCTCTTTACCCTTGAGACTGAGGACAACCCCGACTGTGACTGGGTGGGCAGCTGGGTGGCTGGACTTGCTCAGGGCTTGGCTCACGGTGTGGTCTTCCCGCAGTATGGTTTATACGTTGGTGAGTTTCTAAAGGGGAAGCCGGCCAGGGAGTGAGCCCAGAACGGACCGGACGCCTGTGCACCCCAGCCCTGCCCCTTGGCCACAAAGGCCTCAGCCCTGGGGAGGGAGGGGGCACTGGTGCCCCCAGCCTCTCCAACCCCCAAACTGCTGCTGCGGGAACCCCCCCGCCTTCAGAGCCCTCCCCCTTGGACCAGGGCTGAGAAGAGCTCTAAATAGGGGCAGGGGCTCTCCTGCCAGCCCGCGGGCATGGCAGTCAGTCCTGGAAGGGTAGGACCTCCAGCCTTGTCCATTTCAGGGGAAACTTTGTCCCTGCCACGGGCCAGAGCTTGACCCTGGAAATTCGCGGCCTCCCCCTTCCGTCCTCACCCTGAGGTCCCCCTGGCAGGGGGATACCCACACCAGAATGAGCAGGCTCAGCAAGGGGCAGCCCCACCCCTAGTCTGCCCTCTTCCCTTCCCCAGGCTCTTTCTCCAGCCCCTGTCTCCACTCACCCCAACTGTCTCTTGGACCTATTTTCTATGTTGCCTGGAGGAGTCCGGCACCCCCTCCCCGGCCATTTGTGACAAAATATGAATAAACTACTGCAAACATGTGGGCCCAGTTCTACTCCTAAAAAACTTGGAAGAGATGGGGGCAGGGGACTAGATAGGCACAGCTAGTTTCACCCTGCCAGCCCTTCCCTGACAGATCAGAGGCAGCTACCCACTCCCATCCTCACTTTCCTGGCTATGCCTGCTGAAGCCCTTCCATCTACCTTCCAAGGCAGTGTCAAACCAGGACTCCAGCCCTGTATCCACCTCTTCTGAGATAGCCCCAAGACTGGTCCCCTGAGCAATGCAAAGGCTCAGAGGTATCTATCTATGCCTGCCTCGCAGGCCCCAGGAACAAGGTCAAACAAAGTCAAGGAAATCAAATCTTCAATGTATGGAAAAATCAGTGCTTTCTGGGGCCAGGGGTCACCGGACTAGGTGGAAGGTCAGCCAGTATATAATGAGAGGCTGAAAGGCTGCAGCTCCCAGAGTCAAGTAGAGCTGGAGACGCTGCCGGGACACCGAGCCCCCCATGCTGTCAGGACCCAAGGCTGCTGTCCGCAAAGAGCGCACCTGGAAGAAAGGAGAGCTGAGGCCAGGCCTGGAGAGAGAGGTCTGTCCCCGGCTCTGACCCCAAGCAGAGAGATAGGGGCAGGCCCAGACTCACAATGAAGTACATGAGTGCAGAAGAAGTCCAGGCCAGCACCACATAGTAGCCACTACTGCCAAGCAGCAGCCCCGTGAGTACACTAAGGATCATTCTGCAGGAGGGGGAGGGAGGAAGAAGGCTGGTGAGCCCTTAGGGGTCCAGGCCTCAGAGCACTCCTGCCCAACAGACCCTCTGGGTCCCAGGTAGGTTCCATTCCCAATCAGTCCCCACAGGGGCCCAGACCCAAAAGGATCTGGAAGGCCTGGGGCTCAGTCCCTAGATCTGGATCTGAGGTCCCTATCTCGCTCCCACATTCCCAGGGTAGCTGTCAACACATCCCATCCCTAACTCCCTAACCTCCCACATGGTACCCAGGGCCTGAGAAGACTGCTGGTTCCTCTAATAGACCAGGGCTGCGGGCTCCAGAGCACTGAGACATGTCCAGGGTCATAGTTCCAGGGGGGTCACAGCATGAGGCTATAGCTATGCAGGCCCCTCCCCAGGCCACCTCTCCCAGCCCACAGGTGCTCACCCCACATATTTGTAGCCGCTGTAGGCCAGCAGGTGGAAGGTGCTCAGGTCACTGCGCACGGTGGCCAGGTAGAGGCCCAGGAGCAGGGCCAGCACCTCCATCACCACCCACACCAGTGCTGTGCTAGCGCACAGGCCCAACACCTCCGGGGAGAACCTGTTCTGGGCAGGGGCAAGTCAGCCAGCCTGTGGCAGGGATGAGGGGAGAAGCTGGGAGCAGCAGGGGGTGGGGGTCTAGCAGAGATGCCCTAAAGAGGTATGAAGAAGAGTCTGGGAAGGGATCAGGGAAGGGGGTGGGAAGGATGGAAGTTAGGAGGTTGCCACCAACCTTTTCTGAATGCCCAGTGCCATTCCAGCCAGCAACACATAGGTGATGAAGGCCATTGCTGCCAAGAGCCAGAGGGATGCCATCAGCCTGGCTTCCTCAGCCAGTCTTCTAGGCATCCAAGACCACAAACACCCCCACCTTCTCCCCATACTTCCTTCCCTGCATATCTCAACACAGTCTGACCTCTACTTTCAGCTTCCTAATGCTCTGCCTGGGGTGCTATTCTCTGATCACTCCTCACCCATGTGTAAATGCCACCTGACCATCTCCAGGACCACAAGCCATCTCCTTCCCTACCCCTACGCTAGGAAGCTCACCAATGTTTTCTGCTCTGTCTTATAAACTGCATTATAGGCCAAGGCCATTGATCATCCTACTCAGGGACTGAACTGATTTCTGGTAAGACTACAGGACCAGAATGTGGGTTCACTGGACAAGCCAAGCTGTGCCTAGTGTCCAGGCCATGGAGATGACCTCACCTTCACCAGCAACTGTTAAGTCTGGCCATTAGCACTGGCTACAGCTTTGGCTGCCTTGACAATTTAGAGAGCTCTAACTCTAATTTTGAGCTGTTTTCACAAGAGCCGAGGGCCAGTGGAAGCCTGGCTTTATCAGCAGTTTTAACTTATCCTGTCCTCTTCCCACTATGAAGCACTAGAACCAATGTAATCACCAGAAGGCACAGTGTTGAAGTTAGGAAACCAGCTCTGTACCTGTAAGCTGTGTGGCCTCAAAGATACTCAAGTCCCTCTGAACCTTGGCTTTACCAGGTAAAATGGGGATACTAATATCAGTCATACTGAGTGGCTATAAGAGACATGTGAGATGAAGGATGGAAGAACCTTTGTCCTGCCCAGGAGAGCTGGACTAGCTGCCCTCATTGGAAGCTCCTCAGAGGGTTGGCCCCGTGACACACTCATCACCCCCCTTCTGAGTATTTACTGTGGGCCTAGCCCTGCACAGTAAACAGGGCAGAGAAGAGTAAGCTGCAGAGTGAGCCAGCCACCACACATGTAGGAGGCCTGAAAAATGCCATGTGCACAGGCAGTGTAGGAACCCAGACAGGAGCCCACACTTGCACAGGGGCATCAGGAAAGGCTTCCTGGAGGAGGAGATGATGGAGGAGGCCTGGAAGGATAAGTAATAACAATAACAGTGACTATTTACTACATGCTTCCCATGTGCCAGGTGCCTTGCTGAGCATACATCACCTCACTAAATCTCTACAACAATCCTTTGAGGTAGGAACTGTTACTATTCATGTTTTACTAAAGAGCATGAGTAACCAGCCTAAAGTCCCACAGCTTGAAGTTGCAGGGTTGTGAGGAGGAATATGGTCCAAGTCAGGAGGCAGGAAGATCTCAAAAGGGTGTCCTGGAGACAACAAAGGCACATTCGGGAAGATCTTTACTGGTCACCTCATGCTACCTACCTGGTGTCTAGCAACTGCCACACACAAAAAAACACCAAAACCAGATGCTGAATCAATAGTTGAGTCTCTCTCTTCCCATCATCCCTCAGGCACAAGTTCCCCCACATCCTCCAGCCCAAGTCAGAAACTCACTGGGGATATACAGGTCAGGGGCGTTGAGGTCTTGCCGAGGAGGCAGAGGCACATCACGGCTGTACTGTACTTCCCAGTTCTGGCAGTAGCAACAGCAGCCAGGTCAGAATATGAAAAAACAGGAGAGAAGGGGTTTGAAGTCTGAAAGGCAGACCCGAGCCTCTGAGGGAGGATCCCCTTGCTCACTAGATAGGAAGCTCACCTGGTGTGTGTAGGGAAAGACCAGGAGCCCTAGCTTCTTGGCCACATAGGCTGTGTCCACAGCAAAAAAATACTTGAGTTTGTTCACAGACACAAAACGATGTAGCTGGGAGGGGAGAGAGAGGGCTGTGGGCAAGCTGAACCAAGAGCCTCAGGGTGCTCTTCTGTGTGCTCCTTCCCTGAGGAATTGGCAAAATCCCATAATGCCCCCGCCTAAGCCAGGAATTCTGCCACCCTTCCCCGGGGCAAGCCACACCTCCTTGTGCACCATGTCCTTCCCATGGGATGCGATGGAGCTGCCATAGGCCATAGCCACATTGGCCATTGGGTCCCCAAGCAAGTGGTTGACATTGAAGGCAACGTCTCCTCCTGAAGCAGGGTATGCCCCGGGCTGGCTGGAATAACCACCACTTGTGTCATCGAAGAGGGGAGGAGGGTCTGGAGCTGCCCGAGCCCTGTGCTTGGAGCCTGCGGGTTTGGAGGTTACCAGAGTAGGTGACAGAAATACCAAGCATGAGCCCAAACCACTGCCCTTGCCCTAGTAGGGCAGCCTTGTATGGGTCCTGGGGACACCAAGCCATCAGTGAGGGAATCTGGCTGGCTAAAGGGTAGCTAATTTAGGAAGAACTGTGAGGAGGGATCTTGGGGAGAAATCCTTTGCTAAGCGCAAGCAAAGGAAAAGCTGAGGCAGCACCTGCCCACTTGGGGTTTCTGAGGTCCTTTCAAGGGAAGTGATCTTTGAACTCAACTGTGGAAAGGGAGTACAAGTTTGCCAAGAGGCGAAGATAATGGGCAGTACACCCTTGCATGACCAAAGGTGAGAAAAGCTACAGCTGGCTACCTGGAGGCCCTGCACAGTGATCAGGGACTCTACCCGACTGACGGCAGAAAAAGGAAGGTCTGGAGGCGGACCCCGAATGTGCCCGACTCGGGTGTGTACTCTCACCACCCGATCTTCAGACTGGGCAGAAAGCGCGAAATTAGGGACACGTTGCAAAATCTCATGGGGCAGGAACCCGAGCGCCATCCGGCCCCTGGCAGCGGTCACTACTTCAGTGCCACTCTCCCTCAAGGTGAGCTGGCCGCGCCGCCGACTCTCCCCCAGAGGGCCCAGCCGCGCTCCTCCCGCCCCACAGCGCACGCACCGTGGGCTCCGTAGCCTGAGTGATAAGCCATGGCCGCGAGACTTGCTCTCCCCGAGGGCCCGCTGCGCCGCCCGGTGGATATAAAAACTAATTAAAGCAGCTGTTTCGCTCTCTGGGCCCGGGCTGAAGTTACTCGGCAGCCCGACACGTCCCCCTGCCGGTAGCTTGCAGCGGCCATGTCCATAGCGTCATCCTCCGCCGTCTGTCATTGGCTCTTCGGGAGCGCAGGTTCGCCCCTCCCCTCTCCTAATTGGTTACTGATGCTCTCTCGCCAAAGCGGATTCGGCAGCAGTCAACATCCGGGCGACAGATAGGCGGGGCGATCCGAGGCGTTCTGGGATTGGATAAGGCGCCTGCTAGTTCGCTGGGGGAGCAGCCAATAGATGGGGTAAAGCAGGAAGGTGGTGAGAATTATTTCCACGCCTGCGCAGTGGGGCACTTGACGCGCCCTGCCACGACTACACCCGTAGACAAGAGAGGGGACCCACCGCGGAGTAGGATGTGTTCCAGCCGGAAAGGGGGCGGTAGGCCCCTGCCTTTCGGGCCCCTGCCGCTCCTTCGCTATGCTCGCTTTCCTCTCCTGTTCTCCACACTTCACCTGGCAGCCCAGGAGCTCTTGGTGGGAGGCTGGGCGGGGGGGGG